CACTTTTAAAAGGGTTAAACACCACTAATTCTGAATGTCAAGGTCCTTTGAACAACTTCAGAAGTGCATAGAGAATGGCATCATACCATATAACACACCCAACAGACTGTTTTGCAAGAAGCTAAATTTTGCTGATAAGCTGAAGATGGGGACAATTTAGATATTTAACGCAACCATAGCTTTTAAAAAGCAAAAAAATGTAGAAGATCCTGAATAAAAAAAAAATAAACTGCCAATTACAAAAAAGAGAAAAGGTTTCTCTGGGCAGGGAGGGGTCTATGAAGGCATTTACTGTCATGCCCAGCCCCTTTCCATCTCTCCCACAGCTACATACTAAATAGATCCACATGGGCCTATCAAGACAGGAGCCTGAGCAGAGCAGGGCTCTAGAAAGAAACTCTCCATTCCCTTGGTCTCCCTTAGAAACTTAGAAACCTTTAGAAATGCTCCATTCCCTTTATCTCCCACGTCAAAACATGGTGTGCAAGCTGAGCTTGCTTTGAATGGGCCCAATGCTACAGAAGCAACTCATCATTCCATATCACACAAATACTCTTTTTAAGAAACAAAACAAAAGTCAAGACCAGAAACTACATCCAAAAGCAGCAGAAATGCAGGCACTGTGTATTAATGGAGCCAATAATTATGTACCATACTGGAAGGGAAAAGGACCCTTGTTATCAGAAGCCTTTGCTGAGCCCATTAGCCACACCAAAGACACACTGCAACATACTTTTCAACACAAGATTTTTCTGCAACTTCTACCCTTGCCTGCTTAGTGAAACAACAGCTACTGGTGCTCCAAGACTGATTTTACCTCCCTATGTAAATCACCAACAGCAAATCATCAGCACTAGCTACAACTTTGGCACGTGCAGCCAACAGCCAGCCGCAATGCTTTTCAGGTAGGTTTGGTATCAGATTCACTACTGAAAGATTCACTGTTGAAACTGCAGTTTAGATCTAGTAACACACAAGAAGGTACACCCCCAGCCCTCCACCTTGCTTTCGTGCTTCAATCGCAGGTCTTATGCACACTAGCATCATGCCTTCTCTGCGAGGGCAGCCTTGCAAACTGCCAATTAATGGTGTGAGGCAGCAGATTTCCCACAAAAACTAGCAGAATATGCTCTGAGCTTCAGCAGAGCTTTGAAGTCACTGGGCAGGGACTAAACAGTTGAAGTAAATAGTGATGGCCACTCTCCTGACAACTGCGACACCAGCTTCTAGCCTCCACAACAGCAGAAAATTCATATGCCAATCATATGTTAGCCCCAGTTTTCTTATCCCAAAAGGAAGAAAGTCAGTTATTGTGTAAATGGGAATGCTGATGCACCTCATCGGTATAGGTTTGCATATCGATCACAAAGGCGAGACCAGCAGTTTGGACTGGGCAGAAGAACAAGGAAGAAACATGTTGCCAGAGAGCCTGCAAAAGCCCTGCTCTTCCCACATAGACCCAGGTTTCCAGTAGGCACTGCCATCTCCAGAGACCTCCTTCAGACTATTAACTATTGTGAATTAACTTATTATCTATCTGCCATATTCTTGCAATTTAGCCTCTGCTGAAATTCAAGGCCAAGATTAGGTCACCCTAGTCTGCTTCATCCCTAAAGGAGATGGAAGCAGCACCTTTGCCATATAAGAATTAGCAGGAGGATACTGAAACTCTTAGACTTAACAGAAAATTGGGAGAGTTCCTCAACAGCCTTCAACCAGAAGCCTGCATTTCCTCTGAATGCTATGTGATGTGAGCAAGGAAAAAACCCACACTGCAGAAGTGGTTTGTGCAGTGAAATTGAGCCACCCTTCCTCCAACTTCCTGACACATGTAAAGATGAATTTCTATGCTATAATGCTCACAAAAAGAAGAACTTGGAGTCAAGAAGAGCACAACCACGCAAAGACCTCTCCAGAGCCTGTGTAAAGCACTCCAGAAACACACAGCTTTAAGGCAGGTCTGAAATGATAGGCAGAGTATCATGTCCTTCTTTCAGAAAAGAAGGTTTCCCAAAACTAAAATATTCTGGTTCATAACAATGCCACGATGCTCCCTTGGAACTGTGGCCTGGATGCCTTTTTCTGCCATCTTCCTGTGCCACACCACTGCATGGGACAGCAATGACATGCCTGCTCCTTCCCCATGGACAGCCTCTTCCTCTAGGAAGATCCCTGTCTGCAGAAGAGACAGGGACATAAGGCAGAAAGGAGAGTCTCCATGAAACTGCTACGCTATTTTTAAGTGAAAAACAAAACCAAAAACCTTACTTTCTAGCAAATTCTGCAAAATGTTTTCCAATATTATTTTCTCTCTTTAGGCCAGATAGCCAGGATATTCAAATCCAGCATGCCTTGAACCAAATGAGAAATGAAGGTCAGCTAGAAAATGAGCGTGCTAACTTTCTGTCATCAAAACTGGGCTTTTATTAACACCATGCCCCCATCCCGCAAGAAGCTGTTAGTTTCCTGACCACACAGGATAACCCTGGGATCACGGCGTTCAGCCTGAGGATGGGAACCAGCCTTCTGCTTTTTTCTCAAAATAGCATCATCATCCCAGAATATATTTCAGGGAAAGCAGGAACAGAGTTAGCCATATGCTTTCTGCTCTGAAGTGCAGAACAGGGAAGGAGATGGAAGAGAAAGCTCATAAATCAGCAGAATGCATAAAACTACCCTTGATTGCTGCAATTTGCTAATATTTACAAGGGAACCGGGTGGAGCTATTTTGTTTCAGGCTCAGCATGGCGAGAGTTCGTTGCACCTGAAGGTGCTGACAAGCACAACTTGTCAGTAGAGCTAAATCCAAACAGTTTCATATTAATCCTCCAGTAAGATTTTGATTCTCCAAGCTACTTCTAATAGGATTTTTCCAGATTTTCCCAGATTGTTTGCCTCCAACAACAACAGCCCACAGCACACTACCCTGCCTGATTCTCCAAACAGTAAACATTATGAATTATTGACCAAGAAAACCACACAAACAGCTTCACCTCAGGCCCCTTTGATCAACTTCATAAAACCTGCTTCCAGGAGATGAGCAAGTCTCAAAACTATGGGGCAGAAAATCCACCATCTGGACCTGTGCTACTAATTCTTCCAATGCCAAGAAAGACATTGCACCATGTTTGGGGCGGGAGGGGGACCATCACAGGCTTTCAGATAAACCAACTGGTGAAATTGGCCAGGAGCAGCCAACAACAAAAGCTTCTCTGAGCTGCTTCTGCACTATACAGAGACACAACAGGGACAGAGAGCTCACTAGAAACACAATTTTAAACTACGACAGGGAAGAGATCTGTTTCAGAATGCAGACACACCTCCCAGCCAGCCATCATACCACCCTGAAATCCTTTCAGGAAGTTAGATAATTCTTCATTTGCTATCCTAGAAAACATGTCAAATGGCTGCATTCCAACAGCCACTATAACACACCTCCACTGGAGTGATACTCCATTCAGAGAGCTTGGGAAAAAAAAAAATCTCATGTTACCTCGGGACAGAACTCCAGCAGAAAGACTGGTGCTTACGTCAGGAGGCAGCACACAAAGTCTACCCTTGGTTTGAGCTGACATTCCAGTCTTATCAATGTCTCTGATCTAAACTCTCTGCTAAGCATTTTGTCTGAAGCTTTGTCTGAAGTGAACAACAGTATGATTTAACTCACCAGCTCCCAGAGTCCAGAAACACCGGTTACCTCTGCCATTAGCATTCCAAATATTCTAGCTATTATCACGGAAATGGTGTAGTCCACACACCTGTCCCTTCCCAGTTTCAGCAGTAGGGAGACCAGGGTGCACACCTCTATAAACCCCAGTCCCAAAACTCCAGCCCCATGGAAAAGAAGGTTAGTAACACATTTGCAAATGAAAGCACTTGTGGCAAATCTACAAGACATAATGACCCAAATGCTTAACACCTGGCCGGTCAACCTGAGCACACAGGAGACAAAGGACAACAAAGTTTTGAGTTTGCCATTATCATTTTGTTCCCCCAAAAGATGTTAACATGAGAGGTTAGGAGAAAGCAAGCTCATTCTAGAAGACAGCCTGGAGAAGAATGATGTCAGGACAACTCTTACCAAGGTAAGTGCCTGAGAATCTTCCCTCTGTAGTCAAACCCTGCTGCACAATAACCCTGAATCAGGAGGACTCCAGCTTGTGCCTCTGCTTCAGTGCAAATTCACATGTGGGGCAGGGACCAAGGCACAGAGAAATGGCAACAGGAGGGATAGGAGGTGGCTATAGATAATCAAGGAGGACATGTGAATCAAGTCACAACAGGTTGAAGAGGTGCTTTTTTTTTTTAAAACAAGGAATGCAAACAAACTGGGATTACCCTTTCCTCAGACTTACCACAGCCACCTAAAAACTACGTCCAAAACTCTTTCTTATGGAGGGCCCATCAGAAAATTGCTGAGGGTTGGTGTAATTAAAACAATATGGATAAGACAACCACACAGAGAAAATCTAAATGCTTGTGACCCTGAATGATCAAGTCTCTTCCTGCAGTGGACCATGGGCCTATTCCTCCTATTTCAGATTTCTGTAAATGCTGTTTCTGGACAGCATGGCAAGCTCTGGCAATTCAGACATAGGAGAGCTGCCAGGCCAACTGTGGATTACTCAGTCAGCTGAGGACCTTGCAGCTGTACTGCATAACTAGGTAATTTCTGTGGCATTACCATGCAAAAAACACATCTTGTGCTCGGGATATAGTCAGGGGCCACATCTAAAACAATTCAGCAAAAGCAACCAAGTCCTGCTAACAATATAATCAAGACAGTAAGAGCCAAGAAGGAATGCAAGTTTTACCGAGGTCAACAGAAAATGACACATATTGCAAACATTCAAGAAGTTTGGTGCTCTCTCTCTTTACAATGCCAGCTGCCATTGCCACTTGGGCCTGGCATAGGGCAGGTGACCCCACAACTCCATTACAAAGACTCTTCTTCAGCCTAGCTGCAAAGACATCAAAGGAGAAAACAGAAAGACCACTACCTGCTACTTCCACAATGTGGTGCCTGGCGATATCATAGTAGGGATCATCCCATTGCAGGTGAGTGACGGGCTCAGGGGAGCCTTTGGAGTCCTCTGCACAAAACACAAGGAACAAGCAATTAGGAGAAGGGATCTGGAGCACCTTGGCAAGGGGTACAAGAGGTAGAGGGATGAGGAAAAAATGGCTCTTCAACATGGGAGGGGACTAATGTATGCACCTGTCCACCTCAGAAACCCACCTTTGAAATTCTGAGTGGGCAAGAGCAGCAATGACTTCAGAAGAGACCTGTCAATCTTGTGAGGTCCATATATGTCCCTCAGACTGTACACCCTCTCAAAAATGACTGTTCAGATGTGTCACAAACATTCACAAAGACCAAAGCCCAAGTGCCAAGGGCACCATCATGGCTTTTTAGAGCAGGAGGATCTTAACATCATCCCTTGATGGATGGCCATCCTATATGCCCTTGAGCTAATTTCCCTGACCTCTTTGGGCAGCAGTCCATAGCACAGATTTCAGAACAACTCTGACCTCCAGCCCCACCTCCCACATGGAAGTTCAAGACCCTTGCACTCAGGAAGGCCAGACCATCCTGCAAGAGACCATAATAGAGGACACTCAAGGATTTACAGCATGTCTGTACTGTCAGCACCAAAGTGCAGCCAGCCACAGGCCTGAGAAGAGTGTATTTACATCCACTGGCTCTGAGCGTTTTAGTGCTGTTCAATAGCAAAGCTAATTCACTTGGGTGTGGTGCAAGATTAATGTGTCTATAAAGCTCTCAAGTAGGGCTGGGGCTCTCTGTATATGTAGATATGACCACAATGCTGCAGGACAAACAATTCCTTTTTGGCCAAAACCCAGACCACAAACAAGCAGGATACTTACCTGATTTGGGAAAAGCAGGGGCTTCATCTGCTGGCCAGCTCTTATCATCTATGGAGGCCAGTTTGAGCTGGCTGAGGGACTGGTTGGTATCATCCAAGTTCAGGTCATCCTGAAGCTCCGAGAGTGGGTCTGTAGCCATGGTCCACAAATACCGCAGTTTATTTTGCAGCGTCTAGAACAAGGACTGCAGAGATTGCTAGGTGAGACACAGAGATCACGGGTTTACCTCCCCATAAAGGCTCTTCCTCTTCTCACTGATTCTCCCCAAATCTTCCCTTATCTTTACTTATACAGAGATCATATTTCCCCTCTCCCTTAACACAGGCAGGAACTCCTCTTCCTCCTCCTCCAAGCCAAGAACACCGACATATGTCAGATTCTTTCATGCCAACTGCTATCAAAAGGCCATCAGGAGTCTGTACCAACCCTCTCAGCAAGCCTCTGCTTGACTGCAGCTCTGTCCAGAGTAGTTTCTCTCCTGAAACAGGCGCAGCAACAAGACCCTGAGGAAGGCGACAGGCTACACCAGCCCCTGCCTGATACACTCACTGTACCAGCTCTGAGCTCCCCCTCCCTCTGAAGGGTTGGCACAAAGCCCAGCTATTTCCACAGTTGGCCCAGTGCTGGAAGCTTTCCCAGGAATCGCCTCCCCCCTTCTCCCCATAAGGGAGGGCCAGAGCTCTCAACAACACTGAAGTGGGTGCTTCAGTGTGCTGGGGTCTGAACACAGAAGTGAACAGCTTCTTAAACAGGATTTCGTAGGCTGACCTAGTAAGACAGGGAGAACAGCACACATACAACCCTCGTCTCCTTTCAGCATCACCCAGCAAATCCCTTCCGCTACATGACGGCAAGCAGCAAGGAATCATCTCTTTAACTTAAAGCCATATGGCTTGAATGAGTCTTTTTCACCAAGCATGCCATAATACTCAGGAGACCAAGGAATTAAGAGGGTCCAAGAAACAGACAGCTCAATGTGTTTGCTATTGCTTGCAAGTATTTCTCACTCTCAACTGGAGCAGAAGATACATCAAACCCAGGACTGAGCTATACAGCATACAGCACCTCCTAATGGTACCAGTTCTTAGGGATGACCCCTTAGGAAACAACTATTATCCTCTAATGCCAATGTCCTGGAAATAAGCAAGGAAACACTGGAAAGGACAAGCATATAGATCTGGATTGCTCTATCCCAGCTGAAACCAGGACAATTGCTCACACAGACCACCCAGACAACAGGCAGCAAGCCAAGAGGAACTGTAGCAAAACAAAATGACACCTTGCATCAGCAAGACTCTCTGTAATACTGTTTCTCAGTCAGTCTTGCGCTTTTTTGGCATTACAAGGAGAGCAAAGAGTTCAAAGATGATCTGAGGAGGCACACCACCTTTGTGTGGAAAGATTATATTCACAGTAATTTCCTTTAGCAAAATGGAGGGGGGCAACGATGTTTTACATCTTCCATCCTTACAGCTTGAATGTGTATATTTATCCAGAGATGATGAAACAAAAACTATTAAGAGACTGAGCACTGGAAGGCGTCACATCCATGCTCAGGGCAATGCTCATGACCAAGCTTGGGGATGCATTCTGAAAGTACAGGAAATTGGATATTCAGTGTTTGTCTCCTCCCTCTGGATCACTCCATGCTTATTACTTCCTGTCCGCCCTTAATCTGATACTCACCAGTTTACAAACTGTTTTCACCTCTCAGGGGCTCCCAAAAGGCTGGGAGCTATTGCTAAGCAAATTAAGTAAGTTTCCCAAAATATGAAAGAGCAAGAGATATATGGGCAGCAGATCACCAAAACAGCACCGCAAACACACAAGGTCTGACCACTGCAGCCAAGCAGAGACTCAAGCAAAATTATGGCCTCTGGTGAGGGCCAAGAGAGCTGTCTGACCTCTGATCTCGAAGGGATGAGGAGCAAGAAATCAGGTTCCCTTGCACCATGAGCTCATGCTGGAACCATGCAGCAGCAGAGCCAAGGGACAAGGAATCCCCACCACAAGCAGCTGATCTGATTTCTAGCATCAACTCCTATGCTTAAAGCATTCCCCACTGCAGATCAGCAGCCCCACAGCCCAGCACCCCACACTGAGAAGCGTCCACAGCTTGCCCAGGGCAGCCCCTCAGCATTCCCAGCTCCCAGAGACTTTCTGGCCTCAGTGGGGCGGAAAGAGGACCTACACTCAACTGCTCCCATCCACTGACATGCCTCTCGTGAGATTCTTGGGGACGCCCAGTAGCAAACAGCATCCCCAAAGCGACGTCCTGAAGTGCTTTGGGACCAAATCCAAATACTCACACAGAGCAGTGATGGAACTGCCATAGGGCCAGGAGGACACCAAGCATCCTCACTTGTCCCTACACAGATCACAACTTAGCTTCACAGTCAACTTGCAGCACTTGATTGGAGGCAGAAGAGATGGTTATTAGACAGCACTGGGGGATTTCCCCTTAGGCATAAAATTAATCCTAGGGTGGCACCATGTGGAAGAAGGAAGTTGTTAGTAGGATACTTACAGTTCCACATTGGAAAAAGAGCCCAGTGGATAGTGCTCTTGCCAAAACCTTCCTTATCCCTTGGAAAGGCAGACCAGACCCCTCCTAGATACATCCACATGCATTTCACAGACAGGCAGGCAGCTCCATTCCTTGGCTCTAAGTTAGTGTTCCATGGCAGAAATGTTACTGGAAGGAGGATCCTGAGCAGCAGACCTCTTAGATTGCAGGTCCTTCTTGTGAACCAGACTGTAGTTCCCACCGAGCTCTAGAAGGCTTTTGCAGAATTTTCCCCAGCCCTTTCCCAATAGTGCAAAAGACAAAAGCACAGGGTCTCACATTAGGTTACCCTAGAACAGTTTAGAGAAATATAATCCTCTCAATGCCTCGGAACTAGCAGGCACTGAGAAGGAGAGACCTGGAGTTAGGATGTAAGAAACTATTGCAAGAGAGGAAGAGCTTTTGCGCTCAGGCCCTGCAGAGAACCACAAAGAGGAGGCTGATTGCTGGCTGGAATGGATTTCCAGCAGGTATGGAGGTGGCCTTCAACACAGGGTTTGAGATGAGGTATACATTTTACTTCCTGACAGTCTAGCTGCATGAGATTTTTCCCTGTGTACCCAAAAATAACCCATAAGCAGGACCTGTCATTGAAAAGAAAGTCCATCCTGTATCAGTAAAAGGGTGAAATGGTTGTCAAAAAACAGTATTTCACCAGACATAACACAATTTAAGAACCCCACTTGTTTTAGATAAATGTCATGACAAGATGCAAGTGATACACACTGCACAGCCAATCATAAGGTAAGAAAAAATGACGTACCTAGATTTAAAAAATAAAAAGCCTAGTCAAATATTTAAAAACTAAAGAATCACACTTGACGTCAGAAGCATTTACTTACTGCCAGGCTCTAAAGAACCAACTCTTTCCATTTTTCCAAGCATTTAAGTACATTTTCTGCACCTACACTGGTTGACCTGAACACTTGCTGTCTAATAAAAATTTACTTTCTTGATAACAGAGATATGTACTGCAGAACTGCATGTTCTGCTGAAGGAGAGAAACGTCAGCCCTTTAAAACAGAACTCGCACACCAGTTCTGAGCTGGAGACTCTTACAGAAGATCCCACCAGAATTTACCCAGGGAAGACAGTTCACTTGTACCTGTAAAGTTTTAGTAGCTGCTGCTCATGCAGACTATTTTTTTCTGCAATTCCACTTTCACTACTTTTCCATCATTTATTTCTAAGCTGCACCAACTCGGCAATGTCCTGTTCCTGTTTTTCTTCCAGATACACTATTAATTCAGAAGTAAATCTACACATCAAAATATGTCCATGCATGTATTACCACGCCCTGTACCTGTACTTACTACACAATAAAGAATTACAAAAGCCAAGTGGCCTCTTCCCTGCCTGATTAACAAGCAATGCTCAGACCCAAAGGAACCCCAATTCTGGGGTGATTCTATTGTTTTTCTGACTCTGCTACAATCTGCAGCTCCTCCCAGTTTCATTTTGTTTGCACAAGTGTGTGTTTTTTTGCACACATCACTGAAGTCCTTGCACTTTTCTATAGTCTTAGTATCAAGCACATTGCCAAAAAAAGGAAGCAGTTACTCATCAGCAGACCTTCAAAGTCCTCACTTGCGTGAATGAGCCCCAGGACTAAGACTCCCTGAGAAAGTCCAACCCAAGTCTTCCCTCACATCAAGACTGATGATACCACCAGAAGCATCGCTATCCTGGTACTATCCTGAAAAAATTGGAAGTTCAAGAGCCAGACCAGCTTTGTCTGGTGCATCATCATCAACTAACTCAGGACAGACACACTGGCTCGGAGAAACTCTTTTGCTCTTCATTATTGTAACAGCTTTTTAAATGAGCAGTCTTCCTTCCCCAGTCATCTCAAACCCTGTGCTGAAGGCCACCTCCGTACCTGCTGGAAATCCACCCCAGCCAGCAATCAGCCTCCTCTTAGCGGTTCTCTGCAGGGCCTGAGCGCAAAAGCTCTTCCTCTCTCGCAGCTCTCGCACAAGGTACAGAGGCAGCTATCAGTGCCATGCAGCATCCACCCATCCCACGCCGAACGTGAGGAAACGGCGGCACACACCTCTCCTCCTCCTCGCCACCATACGTCTGATTCTCTCCCATTCCCTTTAGACTGAGCTCCCGTTGGCAACCCAGAACCAGCTTCGAGATTCAAATAAGAAACTCAAAGATTTGCTCTTTACACTGTTAAAAAGAAAATCTCAACTTCCCATAGCACATGCCAACTGCATAACGGAGGGACACTTAAGAGCCACTGCTCTGAGGCACCAAAAGGGATGGTAAGTTACCTCCACCCTGCCGCAG